AAACCGAAAGTTATATATACACAGTTCTTCATATTGAGAATCCAAAGACCAAAATGTTGTCATAAGTGCACGCCTAGTGATATTTGCATGTCTAATCACTGATTTTTCATAAAATAAAATAATCGTAATACATTGTACATGCCAACTATCAAGGATAAAAACATGATAAAGGAGTTTTTTATTCTATATATCTTCATCTACAATGTACGCCCTGAATTGTATAACATATTTTATGATGGATACCGGGAAAAGGATAATTAAAGTGTTGATATAAAGAAATAGATACTTAATCATTTTAGAAGAACGTCCAATACATTTTGTTTATTCTGAACCGGCGCAACTTATTCTCAAGAATTTAAATATGACATTGATAACGACGACAAACCTTTAAAAGTAAAAATTTCATCAGCAGAATTTACCACACAATCTTATTTTACACAAATACTTGTGTATATTTAGAACAGGTGCAAATTCTTCCCAAGAACCTCGATGTGACATTCATGACGTCAAACCGCAGGAACTAGAATTTCATTAATACAGTTTACCATCCAGCGATCTTACTTTATAGAAATAACACACGTGAATATCACGCACTGTTCATGCATTATACATATATGCTGATGAAAGGGAGTATAATAATTTGTCCTTGTGGGACTCTACAGTAAATTGAGCTTAGTAGGCTAAAGCGGAAGCTAAGATGATGAGTGTTGCTATCGTTTCCGTGACCCGCTAAGAGTAATGTTGTTATGCTCAATATATATGTATGTAAACGTATATATTTGAAAAATAACGGATGTGTAATGATGATCATGGGATAAAATTCACAGTATAAACTCAAACTTAATTATGCGGAATAAACTGACTGGTACAACTAAAAACAAGCACACGTTCAATAGTATACTAAAGCCTGCTGTATGCCGAAGATGATATTTACTGCGAAGTTTATTCAAACTGGCCTGTTTCAATTCCCGCTATATTTACATTTTAACCAGGGCATCGAAAGCTAATATTATCATTCCTGTTTATTACTCTAAGACCAATCACAGCAGATGTTTCCCAAACTTGTATAGAAGAGCCCCTGTTGTTTCTGTTTTCGAAACTTTCGTCACACTGTTTGCGAATGAACTTCACCCCCGTCAAAATATTCTGCAGAACTTGATAATGAAAAAAGGGGGATAAATGATATTATTCTCTTGTCCTGCTGACTTTCGTAATTATGTTCTTGTCTTGTAATTCTCGTCGTTGACGTGACGTCACAGACATGAAAGAAGAACCCCTTACCACCCCCACCCTCGGTTCAACCCTATAGTGAGACCTGTCTAGGAAAAGAGTACTTCCAACACGAACTGTATAATTATTTTTGCAAATTCTGAGGAAGTCATTTTCTCCAAAATCCCAATCAAAGGTGCTTAGGTGAGTCTGTTTACACATCTCCAATTAGGAGTCATTCTGAACTGTAACTATAAATGGGCTGGTCATGCCAACCGTTTGATTAAGACTTCGTCCTGAAAATTAGGTAAATTAAAGTATGTATAACATTCTTGATATATACCTAGATAAAATATATTCGTTCTTTGCTAGAATAAACTTCTCGAGATTGGGATGGCTTGTCTGACTCCAAAAGAAGTTAGAAGCAGGCGCCAGCTGCTAGAATCGTTCCTTACTTCACTCCAATAGCGTCACTATACTTTGAAAATGGTGGGAAATCAATTAAAATATGAACTGCAACTTTCTACACTATAAAGTGACAAAAAAATTGTACCAGTTCTCTTTCAAAATTAAGCACGGCAATTATTTAAAAAAAAAACTCTTGACAACTATCAGGTATCCTGAAGTTGTCGCAGTTATATTAAAAAGATGTCCTTGTTCAGTCGTCTATCAATTTGTGGAATAAATTATCTAAACATACATGATGATAGACATTGTCACGGATTCTCGTTTCTAGATATTGTTACCAAAATACAAGATTCATTCCCGAAAAAAAGTAAATTTGGAATTAGTAAAGAAGTCGGAACGCAATAGAAACGCAATAGGAGCGTCGTCGGGAATCCCCCACAGCAGGTAAATTCTAAGAATGCTTCGTTTTCTTGTTAATCATAGGCCGACTTAACGGTAGGTTCACTTAGGGCGAACGTGTTTTATTGTCACAGGTAAAATTTGTAATGATATATTTGCATATGACAACTTACCTCCGGTAGTCAGGACAAACAGCTTTTGTTTATTACCTTTAAAGGGCCAAGGTGCCTTGTACTGATCTTTGTTTACACGATCGTCGCCCGGTCGATATAGATTCTTTTAAAACATCAGATCTACTTGGCATTCATATTTTGGATATATTTGTTATTATTCTTATTATTTTCTTTGGTTTTGTTAAATTTTTATTGATTTTTTTTCCCTTAAGGATGCCAGATATTTGTTTAGAGTAGAATAATCATACAGTTTGTTTTAACTGTAATCAGAATGTTGAACATCTGCTTTGGACTCATTGCGATGTTTATCAATTATTTAAAGTGTTAGATTGGTACGGTAAACCAGGAACAAGAAATACAAAACTGCCACATTCGCAATGGATTTTAGAATTTCAATAGCATCTTAGTCAAGACAAAAACACAAAATGCATTAAAGTCTTAAAAGATATTGATTAATTTTAAAATTTGGTACACGCCCTTACAGATGTAAAAAAAAAAAACAATGCATTAATTATTTTGTCGCTCTACATGGCTCATTAGTAATGATAGGTCTGTGATGGACCTTGATCATCAGTATCACAAGGACGTGATCTTGAAGGGCGCTATTCACTGGTGCATCATTTGTCCAATGAATTTCATATCACTTATAGAGTAATGGCACTTGTATGTACCGTAAATGTCGACATATGATAAAGGAGTGAAGCGGAAAACGTCTTGCTGTGTGTAACCACAAACGTATCGTGACCAAAATGTAACTGGCAATTTTACAGTTCAACGAAAGAACAATGATGTTTCTTTTTGAAAATGAAGGTTTGTAAACAAAATAATTACATTGTAAGTTGTCTACTTACTATTGTAGAAAATACACATTAAAATCTTAATAGAAGAACGGTGTAGTAAATCAATGAATCTGTGATCACGCAAAACTGTTTCTAGAAATCGTCAATGATGCACGAAATGTTGTAGTAAACAATTTTTTTTGTAAAGTTAAATGTTACTTTATAGATAAATGTAGATAGATATAACTGTATGGATAAATGTTACTTTATAGATAAATGTAGATAGATAAATGTTACTACACGTCGATACATAAATGTTGTTATTTAGTTAAATATAAATAAATGTTACTACGTAAACAGATATTGTTGTATACATAAATGTTGTTATTTAGTTAAATATAAATAAATGTTATACACGTAACTGTATGGATAAATGTTACTACACATAAATGTTGTTATTTAGTTAAATATAAATAAATGTTACTACAAGTCGATAAACGTAAACAGATATTGTTGTATACATAAATGTTGTTATTTAGTTAAATATAAATAAATGTTACTACACGTCGATAACCATAAACAGATATTGTTGTATACATAAATGTTGTTATTTAGTTAAATATAAATAAATGTTACTACACGTCGATAACCATAAACAGATATTGTTGTATACATAAATGTTGTTATTTAGTTAAATACAGATAAATGTTACTACACGTCGATAACCGTAAACAGATATTGTTGTATACATAAATGTTGTTATTTAGTTAAATATAAATAAATGTTACTACACGTCGATAACCGTAAACAGATATTGTTGTATACATAAATGTTGTTATTTAGTTAAATACAGATAAATCTTACCATATAGTTAATGTTACTACACGTCGATAACCGTAAACAGATATTGTTGTATACATAAATGTTGTTATTTAGTTAAATATAGATAAATCTTACCATATAGTTAATGTTACTACACGTCGATAACCGTAAACAGATATTGTTGTATACATAAATGTTGTTATTTAGTTAAATATAAATAAATGTTACTACAAGTCGATAAACGTAAACAGATATTGTTGTATACATAAATGTTGTTATTTAGTTAAATATAGATAAATGTTACCACACGTCGATAACCGTAAACAGATATTGTTGTATACATAAATGTTGTTATTTAGTTAAATATAAATAAATGTTACTACACGTCGATAAACGTAAACAGATATTGTTGTATACATAAATGTTGTTATTTAGTTAAATATAGAAAAATGTTACTACACGTCGATAAACGTAAATAGATATTGTTGTATACATAAATGTTGTTATTTAGTTAAATATAGATAAATGTTACTACACGTCGATAACCGTAAACAGATATTGTTGTATACATAAATGTTGTTATTTAGTTAAATATAGATAAATCTTACCATATAGTTAATGTTACTACACGTAGATAAACGTAAATAAATATTGTTGTATACATAAATGTTGTTATTTAGTAAATGCTACTATAAAAATAAATGTAGATAAATATTAAGATATAGATAAATTACTCTATATAGGTAAACGTATAAAATGTTGATGTGTAGATAAACATTACTGTACAGAAAAATGTTACTATGTAGATATATAGGTAAAAATATAGATAAATGTTACTATGTATATAGAAAAATGTTACTATGTAGATGAATATAGATAAATGTTACTATGTTACTGTTTATATGTAATTATCCATAAATGTTACTATGTATAGATAAATGTAGATAAATATTCTTATGAAATGTTCCTGATATTACTGTATAGATAAATGTTTCTTTATAGATAAATATTACTATATAGATAAACATTACTCTATAGATGAATATATGACAGTATGTATTGATGCCTTTCAGGATCTTATACGTCTATTTCTGGCTGTTAAGCCTAAACGAACACCTACACCAGTGTAGGGGAATCCCGACGATATAAATAGCTTAAGTGTCTTTTCTCGCTAAACGGAAATTTCTATGTATTAGCTCAGTCTAACAGAACCACACGCCGATTCATTCATCATTTCCTCGAACAGCGTGAGGTGAAATCAACCTACAGAGACTAGAGGAAATAACGTTTGACTGTAAAAGGTAAGATTTGTAACGTTTGTTGTGATGTGTTGTTTAAAAGATAATATTTAATCAATAATAAACTGACATGGTATTTCTTGTCTGGTATCTACGGTAACTCAATGTCATTTACCATTTAAGCATATTTTTGTTTCAACATTGATTTTGTGGTTGTTTTCAAATTAAACATAAGCTGTGTGACGTAAATTTCTCTTTTTAACCCAGTTGCATTTACGAAAGGTGTTTAATTTACTACAAGGCCGATAGACGATCTGTCTATAATTTGTTCCCACTAACAAACCACATTTACATTTCTACATGTAATTTGACGAGTTTGTAAAACGAAACTACACTGATGATGATGATGATGATGATGATGATGATGATGATGATGATGATGATGATGATGAACCACGGATTTTAGGAAATAACTTTCATTCTAAGTATTTTTTGTTTTGAGGCTATATCGAAAGTAAACCAAAAAAAGTGAAATTATTACGTAAATTGACAAAAACCGTCTTTCGTTTTGAAAAAAAATGAATCGTCTTCAAAAACAGGTACATCTGTAATGATAATTCAATGATTTAAGTTATTTCAAATAGAGACTTAGCAAATTCAGCAATATGTTACTACATGTTAATATGATTATGACACTAAAGCGAAAGTAAAAAAGTGGAATAATGACGTATATTGACGAAAAAAACGTATTTCGTTCTACAAAACAAAAATTGATAGTTAAAAAAATTAAGAAAATTGAATAAATCAATACAAAAAAACGCATGTTTGGCAAACGCTATGAATTGAGATACTTTTGGAAAAGGTGACTAGAAAATGACTGTTTGTCAAACCACAGTATTTATGCTAGAAGTAGATAACCCTAAAACCAATAGATTTCTGCATAAATATATATATATGTGTGTGTGCGTGCGTGTGTGTGTGTGTGTGAGGGTGTGTGTGTGAGGGTGTGTGTGTGTGTGTGTGTGTGTGTGTGAGGGTGTGTGTGTGTGTGTGTGTGTGTGAGAGGGCGTGTTTTTGTGTGTGTGTTGATATATGCATGTAAAATGTATGTAAGGGCTTCGTTTATTTACCTAAAAATGAAATTGAATATATTTATAACGTGCCGTGTGTGATACCGGGTGTGAAAATTTTAAGACTTTAGAATTTATTTTTTTAATGTCACCTGAGCCTATAGACTCAAGGATCAGGCGGAACTTTATCCGTCGCTCCGTCGTCTGTTTTTTCTGTGAACAATCAGTATCTGTACTGATTAACTTTGAGAACTAATTAATTTCTATCAAGTGAAAAATGAAATTCAATTTGGCCACCATTACTGCCATATTTAGAATTTGTTTTTAAGTAATAACTTAAATACTGTGTTGATAATACTGATGAAATTTTGTATGAATATTGTTGATTTTATCGTCATGAGAAGTTGGTGAGTCATGCAAAATTACACTTGTGTTTGTTTGTGAACAGGATAACTTGAGATGAACATTATTTAAATTTTTATCAGTTTGTCATCATAGAGATGAAGTGCTGGCAATAATCTGAGACCATTCAATGAGTGATCGATTTTTGATTGATTTACATGTAGTTTGAGTTTCTGTACAGTCACAACCAGGATTTGCTGTGAGGAGGCCATACCAGGGAGAATTATGTTAACTTTTTTAAACATTTGAAACTGTGCGGTGTATTCGCTGCTGCGAGGGTCACTATACACCTATTGAATTTTAGACCCGAAGATAACTCCATAGTTATGTGTAATGTCATGTCGACTGGAAGAAATGTATGACCAAATTAATTTAGAATATTTCGACATTATTTTTAAATCGGCAATATCGTTAATAAGCTATTATCAGTAGTTATTTACTTAAAACTTCCTTGTATGGCCCCTCACAGCAAATCCTGGTTGTAGTTTAACGGAAATATAGTGATTGAATTGGTGACTTATTTCACCTTTGTCCTTTTGTATACTAAATATTGACCTTACGCTTAACTACAAATGTAGAAAGTATACCATATTCATTACTAGTGTTACACGGCGTGCAAAAGAAATGTACACAACATTGATTGATATTGATAACTTGACCCCTGACCTCTGATGACAGTGATAATGTCTTCCGATACAAGACTGTCGTATAAGAATATGTGTTATTAAAGGATGATGGCGATTGATGGAAATCGATTACCTCTATATTGACCTTTTGGTATGAATTTAGACACAACTTGTTATTGATAAGCCATTTATTGAAAGGTATACAATGTTGAAAACAATTGATTGCCAATAGACCAGTGTACTGTATAATGCTCTTTTAAACTCCTTAAAACAAGTTTACAGATGATTTCTGTATTAAAAGGTGTTATTCACTTGTGTATCTGTTGTAAAATATTTTGCTTAAGAGATTGCTTCTTGGTCTGTAGGTCTAAAACTTTTATAGTTCCCAAATAAGCAGCGGAGAATCGCCTCCTAGGCTTTAAAGTTTAGGCCATTAGCATCATGTCGAGTCCTAGAAGGACGAAACAGCGATATGATGCACCATCTCTGACGAGTCCTAGAAGGACGAAACAGCGATATGATGCACCATCACTGATGAGTCCTAGACGGACGAAACAGCGATATGATGCACCATCACTGATGAGTCCTAGAAGGACGAAACAGCGATATGATGCACCATCACCGATGGATTCCAAAAGGACGAAACAGCTGTATGACGAAACATCACTGAGTCCTAGAAGGACGAATAAGCTGTATGATGAAGTAACACAGGCGGGTCCTAGAAGGATGAAACAGTTGTATGATGAAGCATCACAGACGAGTCCTAGAAGGACGAAACAGATATATGATGCAGTTAAATTCATCGTTTGACTCCACTTTATCTTACTTTGTTTTAGGAATATTTGCATACGTTAAGAAAGAAACAAACCTATACGGCATACATGCATAAAGTATTGATAACGAAATATTGACATTGATTCGTTAAAAAACAAAAATAACGTTTTCCAAGTAGGCACTGTTCAAATCAAATCATTTGAATTACTACGCTGCCACGAAGATCTACCAGTATAAATTATCAGTCATATTTCAGCGGAGTAGGTTAGAAAATGATCCTGTACTTTGATACTATTTTATGAACTTATGTTGTACCCGTGCAGTACAGGTAGTTCATGATCACGGCGTATGCGGCTACAGAGAGAAATCTCCCTCGGTTCTTGGTGACTGTAACATAGCTACACTTCCTTCATCTCTTGTCAGCTACACACATATACACATGCATGTAATGTCACTTTTAAAGTGTAGAGAGGGCATTGATCGAATTAACGATGAAGTATCATTTCCTTGTATTTTTCCGACCAGATAATTTCATTTAAAGAAAAAAAATCTTCCCAATTTTGTTTTTACTTAGAGTAAAACTAAAATATTTGTCCGAAGGTGTCTAACTTTGTATCACCGCTTTTAGTTTTGTCAGAAAAAATAAAAACAACAAAAAGAACAGATTTTAACTGACCCGTGTATTAGTTAGCATTGAGGCAGTATTTTTATATAGTTTACAACAAAGTAAACTTGTTGGGAAAATGGATGAAAACACTCCTATAACGACGTTTAATTAATTGCTCTGACACAAATGTAAGTCAGTATATATGGTTTCATCTTACCGTCAATGCATGATTCATGATTAGTCTCTAGTGAACTATATACAAACTTTTTGTGAAAGCCGACCTATACACGGGTCATTAAAATTTCGTTTTTTATATATATATAATAAGGAAATCTGAGTATCGACCGCGAGCAAGACAAACTTCGCAGATAGATAGTCAGAACCCTTCAGATTATCAAGACTTGAAAACCAGTAGTTAATGACTAAAACGTTTCATAATGATAAGAAAAAGATATTACACATCCTGTTTTATCATTGATTGAAAATCCTTATAGCCAGGATGTTGTTGAAAAGTAATTCTGAACAACAGATATTTGTATTGATAATACCACTTATTACATAACTATTGCCAGAAAGGCTGTTTCAGATTTGTGATCTTGAGTCATCGTATTCTATTCACTATATACCTACTAAAATGATCTCACTGGTCCTTTTCAAATAGATCAGACGAGTAAAGGTGGTAGACACTGCAGGTCGACTTTTTGTTCCCGGGGTTGCCGTAACCTGCTTGTCACGTTTTAATTCATTCTAATAGTGACACAGTTCAAAATGCACACGTGTATTTGACGCTGTTCTTAAATTATCTTATGTATGAACATTACAAAATTAATTCAATAATGGGGCTGCTGCAACTCCCCGTCTAGTCTTTGACTTTTCTTTCGATCACTTTGGATTTTCCTTAGTCGCCTCCTAGCCTATCAAAATGTATGCCCTTAGCATCATTGACGTGTCCAAGAAGGACGAAACAGCTGTATGATGCAGTTTCATTCATTTTTTGGCTCTACTGTATCTGATTCTAAAATTATATTGAAAGGTGCTATTCCCTTTTGTCCTTTGTAAATCTTTTGTGAATATCTCTTGATATTTTATTTGAAACGTCATGTCAGAAAAATCACCCTCGATATCAGTCATAAAGCTACCCAGCCGCAGACACACGAGCGAATAGCACATTTGAATACAGCTCTAAAGTGATGTAAAGGCGTTACAATTTTAAAATCTAGGAGGCAACTGAGGGGAAACCAAAAATGATTAAAAGAAAAGTCCAAATCTAGACGGGGCGTTGCACAAGCCAGAGAGGTAAAATTTGTAATTTTCATTTTAACTAAGTTTTAAATGAATGTTCCGATAATCCTCGAGGACAAAGTCATAAGGCATTGATAAAAATACAAACTTCATTGTGGTATTGATTGGTTGATTTTACGCCGTATGACTGTGTAGTCTTGACCTTGACTTGTGTCATAAAGTTATATACAAAATTACTCTTCTGATACCAGAATATTAGCATTCTTTAAATGAATGAAAATATATATTCTTGCATCAATGAATGATGTCGTAACTTGTAAGTGGATAAAAGCGAAATACAACTTGCACTACAGCGATGTTTGTTGTACGGCTGTACAAGGGAGGTAATTCTAATCTCGGTCAACCAGCCACTTGATCTCTTTCAAGAAATGATTGATCGAGGATTTTCTGAATTGGAGTACTGTTTCCGGTTTAAACACCATATTATTATAATTGGTAACACATATGGGAAGGGAGGCATCTTTGCTTAATGTACTCCTTACCTGTATTTGAAGAGCTCCATTCGGGCCCTCGAGGGCTGCATTTTTGATAACATCAAAACAGTCAATTTGGTTAGGAATAGCGGATATTGTCTATGATCAGATAACTCGCTTCTTTTATCATTCTTGATCTTATAAACAAATGTACAAAGAACAGGCTTCTTGAAGAAGCAAATGTTCTTGTTGAATTAATATTGATTTCAAACAAGGTACAATGTCCGATGAGAATTAAGACATGTTTTAGAAAGTTTCAAGTTTTTCGGAAGGCAATGTTACTACCGTAGTAGCACGCGGAACTTACTAGATTTGAGTTTTAATTGTTGAAGTAACGCTTAATAAAAATTTCTGAAGTTAATCACAAAGTGTGTATGCATGTTATTATTTTTACTACTGATAGTCAGATTTTGCATCACAACCTCCTTTAACCTGACCTTTATTTACAATGTAGAAGTACACAATACCATACACATGTTCGTTTTAACAGTGTTTTACAGCATACTATTGTACAAATATGTGACATGCTTGAGTCATAACATAGTCACTAACAGGTGTGCATTCAGGATTTCGGACGAGTCTTGGTGAACGAAACAGTTGTATGATGCAGCATTATTGACGAGTCCTAAGTGAACAAATCAACTGTATGATGCAACATCATTGACGAGTCTTAGGTGAACGAAACAGCTGTATGATGCAACATCACTGACTGTATGATACAGCTAGATATTCATATTCAGCTCTACTGCATTTCACTATTATTTTTTTTTCGATTGAAATGTGTATTTCACTTTTGTGATTATTGCACAATCCTTATTATCATTTTATTTTATTTTATGACTGTTTTTATTTTAGAGCAGTGATGTGCTGTCCGAAACGTTTTATCGTGGTTGGCTTAGGCTTCGTCGGGCTACTTATCTCCATTGGCTACAGGGCAGTGTTTGCCATGGTTATGGTGGACGTCACCAAAACGCCTGCTACTACAGGGAAGGTAATTATATAGAAGTATTGACAGTAAACTGAGCAAAATTGTTAAAATCGAGTGCATAAGCTTATGTGTAGCTCTATGAACATCTATACAACATGCTATCGTTATAAATACCTGAAGTTTCGTTTTTTGCAGTTTACACTGAATTATTTCACATTGTTTATGCAGTGTCCGGTGAATGAGAGTGATTCTACACGATACCTTTCTTTGACTGGGAAGGTTTCCGTCAGGTTTTCACAGACGATGAACACGGCCTACTTCGTAGGCTCTCTGCTCACCCAGGCTCCAGGGGGTTATCTGGCAACCAGATTTTCTCCCTCCAGGTACGTTTTTTAGCAACATTTTAACTAACTTTTGTTTAGTTGTGCCATTGTGAGATAATTCCATGTGTTGAATGTAATCATGAATTTGCCTTTATGTTATACAGCTCTTATATAAATAAAATAAATATAAGTAAATAAAATAACCCTGCCCATGTGACGACAAAATTTGAACCTGCACTTCAGCGTATTTCATTTAAACAGGTGTAATTGCTTGAAAAAAAACCAAGCAAACAATCAAAACAAACCTAACATTCAAGAATGTCCACAATTATAAAAGATAAATCAAAGACTTCAATTAGTTATAATAATTTATTGAATAAAGATCAAACAACACAAAAAAATCTTTTTTATCTTTATGATTTTTGTGAACTGTATGCGGACAAAGCGTTTTTAAAATGCTGAACAAAGTATTGCTTTGATTATTTGCGGGACTTGATATATTCCAAATCAAAATTGTTGTGTTATGAAAGTTCATTAGTCTGGCAGTATACGTTATAAGAAACAATGAATACGAATTGTCGTATCAATCTGTAATGAAATGTTTACAGTATTGAAAGATGCATCATGTGTTCATTCGGCACTGGTTGATTTTTGAGCAAAAGCTAAAAAATATTCCTGAATCATTTCACGTGAAATCATACCATTCAGATTGATTCCGGTAATCGTGTACTTATGAAAGCTGAGAAACAGAGAAAGCTGTAAACGTCAGTTAAACAGGAATTTACATCAGAGAAACCACTGACATAATGATATTATTTCCAATTCCAATTTGACAAAACCTGGGCAAAATATGGTCAAAACAAATATTTAAACGAACACCTCTGAAAAAGGAGAATAAGATAAAGTATAAGCGAGGTACATCAAGTTAGTAATGTCACGTTCCCAAACGAGAATAAGGCATAGAACAATAGACAAAATTTGTTATTACGATTTAAATTATTGAACAATTTTCCAAGCATGTTTCACTGTTCCATTTTTACTGTTAAGCTTTTCAGCTTTTTAAAAAAAATTATTTGAAGTTTGTTAATAAGTGCTGACGTATTGATAATGCTTGCCATCAAGATGTACTTTTTCAGCTTCTGAGCTGACACCTGGAGTGTGCTACGCCTGAAGTTTATAACGCAGTTGTAAAAAATTTATCCTGCAATTGCAGCCTACTAGTAAAAAAAAAAAAAAAAAACGAAGCTTGCATTTTATTCTAGAATTTGTCCAACACTGTTACAGAATCTGTGGTATATCCATCTTACTGACTTCTGTCCTAATGCTGACTTTGCCCTGGGCTATACCTTTCAACAAGTGGTTGACTATGGCCATACGATTTGTGCAAGGCATTGTGGAGGTTAGTTTATATTTCATATTAGTATGTTGGTGATTCATAGTAATACTTCCGCCCGGAGAGAAACAAAATATAATACCGGTATATTAAATGGTCTAGTTATATTGATATTCTTCTTGTTTTGTTTTTATTTTTAATGATTAATGTGATCAGACACAAGATCTACATATGTATAAGTAAAAAGATTTTAAAGAGGTATGGAATGGTTTTGGCTTTCTGCATATTGTGTAGCGTCTTCTTCAATCTGCACTAGTACTAACAGCCAATACAAATTTCTAATATGCTTTATATATTTTTGTGTGAAATATTGCATGCTCTCGTATCTTGCCGTAGAAAAAGATAAGTCTATTTACTGTGATATAGAAATCTCTTGTATGTTTTAGTTAACAAATTAATCTTATATTTTCTCCTAAGACCAAAGGGTAAACAAACTAATATAATATATTCTGTCAAGACCAAAGGTAATGTGATATACCTGTCTTTGCTCTTAAACAATCATTAGAATGAAAACCGAAATGAATCAGTGAAATATGTAGTGTTGTAGTAAATCATGTTAGATAAATGTTTTTATTCAAAGAGTTGAAGATATTCGTAAATTTGAAGAGAAATGGAGGACATGGCGTTTTACTTGTCCTCCGATAAATTCTTTGTTACACTTAAGTGTAATCTGTGTAAATATTTAAATATCAAGTAAAGTAATTACATCTGCAGTTTCAAAGCAACATTTTCATTCCGGATTATCATAAATGGCATTTAGAAAGGGCAAATATTGTCTTGTTGCTCATATTTGAAATGAAAGTAACAAGTCGCAAAAACCAAAATTATTTACCTAACAGAAATACATCTTTCAAAGTTGATTTTGAAAATTGAAGACATATATTGAAATTTATTCGAAGATAATGATTTATCAACAATTTGGCATGAGAAATTGGATGACAAAAACACTGATTTTTTTTGTACATTCCTAAATTACTTGGAATTGGAAATTATGTAAATTAAATACTTTTAAATGTGACCTTCAGGTATTCATACACTGACCTTTACATAACATGAAATTGCCCTTAAGCGTTAAGTCTAGAAATGGAAACTTCTGATTTGCAACTTGACTTAACTCTAATTCAACATTTAGAATTACCAGTTGGATTGGGCACATTACCAACTCTTTGCTTACATTTCTAATGTGAAATTTATACTTTGAAGGACTTAATTCTGTTATCGGTCTTTAGGAAAGTTGATTGATTTACATCTAATTTGGTTATGAATAGGGAGCTTCTGTGCCAGCCCTTAATGGCGTCATTTCGGCCTGGGCCCCAAGGTCAGAGAAGGCAAGAATGATTACTATCTCTTACTCCGGTATGTATCAGCTTAAGAAAACCATTACTTATAATCTTCACATACAATTGTACACAATTCCCTTTCCCTAAAGATCTTAATGCGAAGACGATATAAGCGAATTGCCTGTATATTTGACCTGTATGCTTGAATTGTTTCTAATCAGAAATGCAAAGACTTTAAATTATGTAAAGAAATTGAAACAAAATCTCAATACACATACATCAAGTCAAAATTACCACAGCATCAACATAGCTTATCCATACTGTAACTGAAATAGATGAAATGAGTGGTGACATGCAATATTTTCGTTATAACTTTAAAAAGTAAAAACAAAAGGTCCTGCATTATGTTATCGTGTAACTAGAATGTTGCCACGTTAAAACATTTTGCATGAATATCAATATTGTATTGTGACTGCATTTTATATTTTTACTCTCATTCTGCAGGAGCTTACCTCAGTCCTACTGTCGCCTTTGTGGTAACCGGATCAGCATCGTGCTATATTAGCTGGCACGCAAGTCTCTTCATATACGGTCAGAATTAGGGATCTGGTGTGTGTGTGTGTGGGTGGGGGGTTAAAGAGTAAACGTTTTTTAACACATGAAAAGTAAAATGTTTTATAAACCAATAAATATTCTAATTCCATGTTTTCCCGTAATCTGTGACAGTTGAGCAGTTAAGAATATACACAGGTATTTTGAAAAGATATGGAATTATGGGTTATTGCATCTAGATTGTGACATTTATCCGGCCACTTTTGATTTTCTTCAGTCGCTTAGTTTCAACCCTTAACATCACCGACGAGTCCTAGAAGGACGAAACAGCTTTACGATGAAGTTTACATCGTTATTTTACTCTGCTATATCTATTTCTTAATTTGTACTAAAAAATATGTTCAATGGTCTTTTGTACAGTCTGTGGTACGGTGAGGTAGATTATACCGGGTTATTTTTTTTCAGTTTTGATAACATTGAATATTTGAAAATGATGAAATGAACATGAAATATTTGATATGTATTCTAACAACTCCTAGCAACTTGCCAATGGATGAAAATGATTTTTAAAATATCTCAGCTTTTAGATTTCTTTAAAGGTAAATAGAACGTTTGTGTCTTTTATACAATCCGATGGTTTTTATACAAGTGCAGTAACCTGCCATGATATGATTCTTATGAATACATGTAGTTGAGATTATCATGTGAAATCATATATTTACCCGGGAACCAAAATATAGTTTTACAAAAATGTTTATTTTCATTAGCACTTGATTTCGTTAATAAATTTCGCACACAAAATCCTCTAGTACTAAAATCCATGTAAGTTTTTATCTGTTTATCATTTCGTGGACAGGAAATCTGAAAACTTTGAATAACAGAAATAAGCCGTTTCTTTTTATCTATGTAATTATTGGGTTAATACACCTATCCATCTAGAATTCGGCATTTCTTTCAATCATTGGTGATTTTCCTCAGTTGCCTCCGTGGTTGCAGCACTGTAGAACTATGTATCACTGACGAGACCTGGAAGAACAAAGATCCTGAATTTTTCAGTTTAAACTAAAATTAAGCCCTGTTGTATCTAATTCGGAATTTATAAAGGAAGTTTGTATTCACTGGTGCGAATTTTGTACATTCTAGGTCTGGTATTGTAGTTTATAGGTTTATGCGAAGAGATGAATATACCTCTAATCAGAGCTAGCGTTTCATTTCATACTGTATACCTCGTTATATCATCAAAGCCCATTCTGAACTCTCAGAGATGCCCCCTTTCGTTTAATTTATCAGCTGTTATAGCATTAAGCGTGACAGCTGATGGGACCGAGAATATAAAAAAAAAACCTGCGTCGTGTTTTCGAACAATAAAAAAATGACATAAAAAACTTATATGTTGAAAGACACTAATATCAAGAAAAAAATATATGAAAAGATTTAAATGCCGCGTCCAAATAAGAGTGACCGTTACTGCCAAGTGGTTAATTTTCAAAACATGAGAAAAAGAACAAAAATGTTGATGTATTACACATGACCTATATTAAGTCTAAAGCCAAGAATTCAAGTGATGCTGCTCCGTCAGATATGATGTAAAATGGAGATTGTAATTGGATTGTGTTGACGACTCCACCCTTAGTTTTGTGAATGTGTAAATATACAACCTACTTATATCCTAATATACGACACGTGTAAATGGATATCCGCGTAAATCAGCTAAGTCAGTATAGACAACACATTAGAATGTGAATAGATATGACCTCTTTGTACATAATGCACACACAAGTAAATGGTTTTGTGAGATTGGATTTTGGTAATACCATACCGATACATTGTATTGTCCCTGTGTGTTACACAGGCAGATATGGTGTGCTGTGGTTACGTGTGTGGTTCTACTTTATACGAGTAACATTAACCTGACAATAACGAACCATTTGTATTATTGTTGTGTGTTATACAGGTGGATGTGGTGTGTTGTGGTCACTTGCCTGGTTTTTATTTATTTACGACACTCCAGCTAGCCATCCGGGGCTAAAAGAAAGAGAGATATTATTGTTTCAGGAAGAAGGACCGGGACATAGAGGAGGCAGCAGATTGATAGTAATTATAACATGTTCACGAAATTAGAAAATCAATATTAAAAATACATTTTTTGTCAAAATAATATCGTTAGGTTTTACTTCTACATAATACTTATATAATATAAAGTAATACTATAGAAGTGCTGCCGTGTTCAGAATTTTAACAGATAGTCGTAAATAAAACTTGTTGCTGGTGAAAGAAAATATGTGTTTAAACAGTGTATATCACGAAAAATTAATTATCAATGCTGGATACAAAATGAAGTGCTTTCTATGATATAATATAAACTTTTCTGAACAAAAATATGACATACAATACGAAGTTTCATCAAAAGTACAATACACACTACTACCTTTTGTGCAGTATGTTCCAATTTGCCTTTGCTAAATGAAACCTACAATGCTGACCCTCGCTATTTAATAATCGTTAATGTGTATTATTCTCTCTATACAGGCCTCTGGTATCCCTTGGCGAAGTATTTTAACAAGTCTCCCGATGTATGCTGTCATTGTTGGTAGCTTTTGTAGAAACTGGATCTTTTCGTTAATTCTGACTGAGCTCCCTCAGTACTTCCACGACGTGTTCTCCCTGAGCATAGATCATGTACGTCTCATTTCATTCATTCAAATGTACGCCATCACCAAAGCAATATCGTTTCAAAAACTACGTAGGGATCATTTGAATGGAAAATGTATTCGCTTGCAAGATGAATTTACATTAAGATTTCACAGGTTTAATGCTATTGGAAAGCAAGGGAAAGGGAGAAAATCTCTATCTACTTTTGCACAAGTTAAGTGGGTAATTAATGAGAAGGGGGGTAACTGCGTAGTTTCAACTACATTTTAAAGCTGGTTTTGCAATCTAATTGAATTTTACCAAAGAGAGTTGTTTTTTCTCATTATTCGGTTCATTCTATACATGGTAAAAGTAATGTAAATTTTGTATGGTGTATTTTTAAGGGAAAGAATATTTTTGCAATTTTGAAACAATATGTATTACATACAGAGTACCATAAGCCCTATGGACGAAATAGGACAGCTGATCAAGCCTCTTTTTATGGAAGTTCGATATTTGTAAAGCAAATCACTATACGTAGGACTATTTTTGAAAATTATTATATTACATAGAAAAATCCAGAACCATTCGTTGTATCTATGGTATAAAGAATTTTTTATGTGAATAGACAGCATTTTTAAAACAAATACCAATGCGTAGTTGATATCGTACTGACAATATATCATGTACAATGATTTTAAGGCGATCAAAAACGTCATGAAAAACTTCAATGTTTTCGTTTCACAGATCGGATGGATGACTGGCGTTCCGGAAGTATTTATGACGTTAGTGACCATAATTGGGGGTGTCGTCGTAGACAAATTGATCAAGGCAAACAGATGTGGTATCACCACCACCGTAGGGAGGAAACTTGCACAGTGTATTGGTATGTGGTATATTTACTGGCGAGTACAAAACTAAAAAATTACGAAGAAATATAAAATAAACATTAAGAGAAATCCTAGTTGCAAATGAATACATTAGAAAACATGGAATTGTTTCAGAATTGTAAAGATATGCAGTTGTACAGATAATAATTTTCAAGATACGTGATAACATACATCAGTTTAAATGTATCAAAATGAAACTTGCCGGTTTGTGTCATCGTGTTGTTTAAAGATACGTGTCGAATTGAGGTAACACAGAGTGAATGTCGTAATAATAACCAACACGTTGAGAGAGAGAGAGAGAGAGAGAGAGAGAGAGAGAGAGAGAGAGAGAGAGAGAGAGAGAGAGAGAGAGAGAGAGAGAGAGAGAGAGAGAGAGAGAGAGAGAGAGAGAGAGAGAGAGAGAGAGAGAGAGAGAGAGAGAGAGGGAGGAAAATCCCTTTTACCGAATTTTGGAACTTCTAAACATTAAGGTGTCGGTTCTTATTATTAAGGCATTTACAAGTAATTCAGTGTGTGTGTGTGTGTGTGTGTGTGTGTGTTCTTTTCTATCAATTCAATTTTTAAGGTTTCTAATTTTGCAATTTCCTTTCATCGCAAAAATAGAAGTACTCGAATCTAACAACTTTTACAATGAAATAACAACACCGACAAGATAAACAATATTTACAGAACTTTGAGCATTGAAAATAGCATCAACATTAAACGTAGCAGACGTTACACATGTAAATATATTTACATAACAGTTATAATATTTAAGATAAAAATCAGAATATTTACGTAACAGTTATAACGTTTAAAATAAGAATCACAATATTTACATAACAGTTATAACTTTTAAAATAAAATCACAATATTTATATAATAGTTATAATATGTAAAGTAAAATCACAATATTGACATAACAGCTGTAATATTTAAAATAAAAAAAAACTACAATATTTACATAACAGTTCTAATATCACAAATAAGAATCACAATGTTTACAGCAAGTGACATTTGAATGTAAAACTGAAATTTGCTATAATTGAGTGAATACTTTCAGGTTTTGGAATAGAAGCAATTTGTTTGTTCGTGCTGGCTACTCGTGGCGATAGTCCAGAAGACAGGACCTTAGTTTTTATCTTACTATGTGTTGGAGTGGGCTTCAGTGGACTGGCTATATCAGGTATCGGCAGGACCTACGAATGTATATGTTTTTGAGTAGGTGATAAAGATGAAAAAAAAAAGTTTGTTGGTAGGGTTTGGAAATTAATCTAAAATCAAACAAGCTATGTTTCTTCGGTGCATTTTATTCCGCTGTCAAATTAATTTATGCGAAGACTCGTTGTTTATTGAGAAATACACATCTGCTTGAAGTATATGTGTAATATGCATAGTGTAATAATGTGAGTGCAACTGTTTCAGGTTATCAAGTGAATCCTTTAGACCTCGCTCCTCAGTACTCCAGTATCCTGACTGGGTTGTCAAGATGTGGTGCTTTAGGAGCTATCTTGAGTACTGCTACCGCTGCTGCCATAAGGGATGGCGAAAGAGTGAGTATTTATGAGGAGGTGGTGATGGTTGTACTTGTGTAGAAAGAAAGGACGGAATCCAAGAGGGAAGTATAAGATTAAACGATATATATATATATAATCAATGAAGTAATAGCGACAGTACGGACATGCAAATTGTCATATTTTCGAGGCAACCTGTCCCTTTATCAAGACAAAAATATTACATAAATTACATCACATAAATAGAACACAAAACAAGCACAAAGTTATAAATCTAAATCGAGAGCGGTAGTGTAAATTTAGGTGTCTATAATCCCTTCGGCCGATGGACGCCGAATGCTCTTAAGAAAAACATTGTTGTATGTAAGATAGTTATAAAAATATCAAAAATATTTAACATAAATCTAGGTATATTTTACACTCTAGATACTGTGCGTATATGTGATCCCAATGAAAACAATTGCATGTCACACTGAGGAAATATATATATATAAAGGAATGTTGATTTGGGCTTATGTAGGTGTAGGTACTGATATCTTGAAGCGTAGGATATAGAATGTATTTCGTTAAGTGCTTTAAGCGATCGGAATATAGGGTATTTGGTGGATGAAGGGTTAAGTGAAGAGAGTTGTATATTACAGAGAAATTATGTGTAAGCTCGTTTGCAGAGGGAAAACAGTGCTGTGACAAAGCAGAGTATTTGACATTACTAATTTACTGAAACTTCTCATATTTTCTTCATTTTCCCTGTAACTTTTCTTGATGACATATCAATGTTTTCCTTGTGACTTTGAGGGAACATGTCTTTGTTACCCACTGTTAAGCAACCCAATTTTGATTGTGCACGTGTTATACATTTAACAACATTTTATCTTCATTTCACGAAGGTGAAAAATTGGCAAACAATATTTTGGATTGCTGGTGCCATACACATGGCTGGGGTGGTGTTCTACGGAATATTTGCACGTGGGACAAGACAACCTTGGGCGCAAGTAAAGGAAAGTAAAGGTTTGATCAATCCCGTGGAAGGTCATAGTGAGGGAAGCGAAAATGGCGTATATGATGATTACAAGGATCGTATTTACAGTAGATCTGTTGATTATGGATCTACAAGGAATATCGAAGAAGACACTATGGATAAGGATACGATTTTCTCGAAATCTACAGGCAACGTGGTGCTTAGCAGTTCTGATTACGATGAGGGACCTGATTGGTTTCATCTTACCATTTGAACAAAAGTTTTGAAGATAAACAAGTTATTTTGTGGATGACAGTGATAATTAAATATCGAATTTGGTATTAAAATTGTCATTTTATGGACAAAGATCGTAATTTTCATCGAAATGAAATTGTGTAATATAAACGAAATTAAGAGGAAAGAGAAATGATGTGTGTCTGTGTTTTCCCTTTGAATATTATGAGTGGCATTATTACATTGCAAAAATAATTACAATCATGTTTCTGGCCTTTGCCAGAGAATATTTTCATTATAATAAAAAAGTACAGTATTTCGTAGCGATTTATATGGATCAAATATTGTTATTTTACCAAGTTGTTATTTTAATTTATGCATTGATTGTTTTATTTTATTTTTATCGAAAGCGAGTTAGTTCAAACGGTAGAACGTCCGACAGTTTAGTCTCCCATTAAAATCAGAGATGTGTGGTTCGATCCCTCCCGGAGGCAGTTGGTGTATCTCCGGAAGCTGAGATCACTGGACACCGCTTACAGTCATAGATATGTCCTTGTGGAACATTAATATATTATTTTTCTCTCTTTTTCCCTCTGTCATTTTCTATCTTTATGCATAACTTGCCAAATCTCGCATTTAGACAAGTATTGAGTAATACATGCAGTTTAAAAGCCTTTGAGCTCTTTCCAATAACTAGGATGTCAACAAAAATAATTTTCGGATCAGTCTTACATAATGATTAATTGATAAATTGATGATCCCACATATCCCAAAGGTTGTGATTTTCGAGGGATGTTGTTTTCAAAGCTGAAATAAAATCGGAAAATATAGATACTCTAAAACTGCTGTTAGTTTCGTACAAATTGCACTGTTAGAAAAAACTTTTACTTTGTATCTCTACATTTCAGTGTTTTGTAACGTGCACTGTCAGTGTTCACGGCTTTATCGTTCAATAACTGAGATAAGAAATCGATCAGGTTACGTTATATGTACATGTATATCAACATGACGGTGCATGTCAAAAATTTGCAATATTAGCTTTAAGTGTGTTTGATAACTGATAGAGGAAATCGAACAGATAACAAGTATGTACATGAAATTAGACCTTTGGTGAGTTATCACCTGAGATCGGATCTCAGTTTACTAAAAGTGACCCCATTCTTGTTAAGTAATTATCCATCTGCAGACCAGAAGTCAACTATATTTAAAACTACTCTTACTAATTAATGAAATGAAAAATAATCTTATTTATGTTCGAAATGAATCTCTATCAAACACAACATTTTAAAATTATTTTTTGAAGCATCCCCATAATACAACTTCAATATTCTTAGACATTTAAAAGCATTTTGTTCAGGTTTTGTTATTTGTACAATTAAGAAGACATTAAAAGCAAAAATCTGTTTTGTAGTATTGATTCATTTTTTTTATTGTTTACATTGTAGATTTTTTACTGAAAAACAGGGACAGCCATGCTGTTGACAATAAAAAGACAAGTGAACGTCACGTGCATTATACAACCTCTCACACACACAAACATATAGCTTGTTTCACATGTTGTTTTTTATAATACTTTGATTTAAGTATACTAAAAACTAATACCTTTTCTTAATAAATAATAATCTTGATACTTTTAAACAATTTCGAAACAAGTAAAAAAAAGTTAAGATTTTTAAAATGAATCATCAATCACTTTTGTTGGATCAGGTTCAAGCGTTAGAGGGGATACGCCTAACCCTATTTCACAGCATTCACAAACACCTACACAACTTTTTAACACGTATATGATGACACAATTGTCACTAGTGAAAATAAGCTATAGATAATAATATTAAAGTGAAAAGAAAAAGAAAATTGGTCATTGGCTATGTCTATACACTGTATATCTGTATCTGTAGTATAATGAATATTTTTTAAAAAAAGGGTATTTTATTCTAAATTCAAGAAACTAATTAGATTTTGTATACGGATTAACATACATGAGGTGTAAATATTAACCGGGTTTAATCTTTAAAAACGTGAAAAATCTCACGTTTTATCTAACATTGCTAGAAAGAGAAGGAAAGAAGGGCTTTATTTTCAGTGACATACTTATGCCTTTTCAATATCATGTACATGATATATGATCAATATAATTTCCAGGAAATGATTTCCATAAATTGCCCGCACTAGGAATCCTACGTAAATTTCCATTGGTTGTTCAATTTTCGTGTGAATCTAGGTATGGTTTAATCATTGGTTGATATCGAAGTTAATGTGTTGAATTGAAAAACGCAGGCGGATACTGTTTTTCAACTGATTAGTTTTAACAATTTTTTTTATTATTACCGAAACAGATACTTGATCTCATATGAAATTCTGCCATTATGCATAAATAAATTCATAATTGAATGTGTGAGGTGATGAAAAGAAATTTTCGGCTTGTGGATCAGACGGTCCTCTCAAGAAAGGCTGATAACTGTTTTGAGCATGCGCAGTAAGTTTCAGTGGATTTTATATTGATTTACGTAGTTGATTACTAAAATATGTATCTATTGTTTATTTGCTCCTGTATGTATTTGTTCTATCAACTCTTCTGAAATTTTTGTGAGACACACATATACAATTAAGTTTTGCTTTTTTCTGTCAAACTTAATAAACATTAATGCATTTTTGCTTAAATATTTGTTTTCATAATTGGTTATATACCGCATTTCAAAGTGAATCATGTCATTCTGACTGTCACTTAGCAGTCAAGTACCAAGGGTCCCTATATAATGCAATGGATGATGTGTTTAAAGGTTCTTTAGTGTATCTAAAGAAACAGACGCTTGATGTCCATTATGTAACATTTGAATTAAGTGAAAAGGATGAAATTGTAAGAAAGCATTTTGTCAATAGCTGGTATATCTGTAGGAAAAACACAAATCATTTCATTCACTATGGCTGTTATTTATATAAAGAATTATTTTGAGTAAATGTTGTTAGAATGTTTGGATGGAGAAGTATCTCGTTTAATGAAGCATGAGCCATGACACGATAGTAGAATCCACATATCCTACTTACCCTCTCTGTACTGTTTACCTGTGTGCCTGCCTCAGCCCACGTGATAGTTGAACTAATTCCCGACACAATAATGAATACATGTATATGAATAAATTTTCACTCATTTCGGATTTACTTTTTATTCATCTATTAAGTTAAATCGATATTCATGATTCTGTAATGTCGCATTGTTACTTGATATAATTTGATAACTTACTGATCATTTCATTGATGTGTAATTTCACTTAAGAATATTTTATTGCTATAAACAATCAATAGGATTAGACAGCAGACTGGAGCCTATATAAGTATTCTGCTAAGACAACATGGTGGTCAGACATAAACATAATACATCAACATACATACATACATACATACATACATACATACATACATACATACACGGATGAGACGCCGGATCACCACGGACCGTCAAACCGGGGCAGTCCGTGACAATCCGCCATTACCGTGTACGGACCATGAATGCATCCGGCGACATCCGGGACTATCCGGGTAAGTCAATCTGATCCGACGAAAAAATTAAACAAGCTTAATTTTTTCACCGGACCGACACTAATGAAAATCGTCCGTGTAGGCACCGAAGTATCCGCGTCATCCGTGTACGTTTATGTTCTACGGAAGACCACTGATGTCTACGTATTATACACGGTTTGTATCCGGTAGCTACACGTTCAGTCACGGTGTTAACACGGAGCAAGAGCACCACCAGTATCAATACGGTGTGTTCCCGTAGATGCCGGGAAGACTACAGATTCTATACGGATGTACACGGTTTACCTACGGTTATTATGAGCAGGGGAGCAATGCACATTTGAAAACCGTTATTCTATCTTCACTCTCGAAAAAGATAATATCCTCCAACCACAAAGCCGCCTAAAAACGAAATATTAAAAGAGACAATTTGTCCACAAAAACTGCAAGTGATGCATCGACAGTTTCGTCATCGCCGACTTCTTCCGATGCACGCAAAGATGATTCATCTGAACTGGATGATTCAAATCAAAATATCCACACAGAAACGCCGAATACCAATGAACAAACACCGCAACAAGATGTCATGAACGAGGAGGTCCAAAAGAGTGTCAAAGAGGCAGCACCAGTTCCCAAAGATGTGACCGAATCAACCGGTGGTGTAGAAGTAGTGGACTGCGAAGACGAAGTAAATATGAATAATACTAGACAAATAAAGAGGAAGAAACGAGAGCCTTTGATTCTGATAGAGGAACAAGGGCAGGATATTGCATATTGGTACATGGCATGAAATCCTTGTTAGCATTGTGTTCAAACCGTGTTGACATCGGCATCAATATGCAACAGGACATTAAAACGCCGGATGGTCCCGGGTGATAAAAAAATTAATCCGTGATAATCCGGCGTCTCATCCGTGAATTTGTGAAAGGGGCTTTACAATCCTCATCGAAGAGAGCCGCAGAGTCTAACCAGGGTTTGTCCATCCAGCAATCACTGTAATTTACATCTCCAGCAGATGACTGCATTATTAATCATTGGTTTGTCTATCCTTCTTCTTGAAGAATACACAAAGCTACAAGTTAGCATTTTTTTTCGGAATTTCTGATCTGAGAGCACTCCTCGCACGTTTCTGTCATAAATATTAGTTCTGCATGAAATGTGTTATTTTGGAAATTATATATAAATGATTTGACTATGCCATTTGCTTTTACTTATGCCTCTGGTGTATGGTATTTCGATATTCAGATGTTCAATAATCTAGTACTAGCCTTATTTCTTTTGCACCATAAGCCTTTTAGTAGTTCGAAAACTATCAGATTTCTATTCCTTTCCAATTTTACTCTGTGACAGAACATACATTTTAAGTAAATAAATAATTGTGGACACAACTTATACCATTTAAAAAATATTGGTGATAGAACTGTTTTTAAAAATGTTTTAAAAAAATGTCCTCAACCTGTCTGTATACCAACATACTAATCCATATTTGAAGAAAACCATGAATGTTACAGGAAAAAAATACAAAAAAAACTTGGACTTTTTACACCTCAATGATACAAATTCAAGTTTATATTTGGCAATGCAAATTATAGAACTACAATCCTGCAAAGTTTGAAAGAACTCCGGTGGCGGTCTTTAGGGAAATTTAGCTGAACCACAACCTTTGCTAAAATAATGAGATGCTGGTTTCTTTCCGTAATTTTTAGCAATCGATCACTCAACCATCAAATGGTAAGGAAGTACCTGCCTCTGGTAACTTTATCGTAATTAGCACTTCAGTTTATTCCGCCATTTGCGTTGCCATTTGCATTTCATAATGCTCATTAAACTTAAATCAGGTAATTTCACACAGTGATATTAGTCACTGGGACAAAGCTATAAAGTTGACCCATCTTACCCTCGCAAACTTTTGATCAGTAGTTCACCCCTCTTACTCTCGCAAACTCTTAGATCGGTAGTTGGCCCCGCATACCCTCACAAACTGTTAGGTCGGTAGTTGGCCCCGCTTACCCTCGCAAACTCTAAGATCATTAGTTCACCCCTCTTACTCTCGCAAACTCGCAAACTGTTAGATCGGTAGTTCACCCCTCTTCCCTCACAAACTGTTAGGTCGGTAGTTCATCCCTCTTACCCTCGTAAACTGTTACATCGATAATTAACCCTTTTTTGACAATGACAGGGTCCTGACCAGATCCTTAGTTTACTACGCTAACCCTATCTAACTCCCGTCGCTTTATGATGATGTGATGTTTTAAAATAACACAATAATATAATCATGCTAATAAATTGTAAGAATAGAAAAATTAAACATAAACAGGTCGTAAACATCCAAAAAATCTCAACAGCTCCTACCGGCTTTTAACAAATATGCCGATCAATTCCTTACAATCTTGTACACTACAAACGTCAGTCAGTGTTAGAACGCTTCACAACAATTATACGTCTGATGAAGGCGACCATGTAGTCATCGAAACGTCATAATTAAATCTGGTTGTGTTATAAGAACTTATATTCTACTCTCCATCTCCTCTCTGTGAGGCATTTATACGTGGATTCAACAAAGCTATCGTCGCCAGACCCCCGTGACACACACATATACAGCAACTATTCTCTGTCTCTGACTTACATAGACACCAAAGCTATCCTTTGTCAGACGTTTGTGAGGCATACATACATAAATACACAACAGCTATCCGGTCAAAGGCGGGATTACACTCGTGAAGTAAAGTCTTGGATCTATCTGATTGCATGTAAGCCCGGATTGCCTTATCATAGTCCCCGATGGTTTGGTAACAGATTCCTAGGAGAGTGTGAAACATCCAGTGTTTTTCTCCGCTTTGATCATCTTCATACGGGACCTGTTTAAAGTTTTGTAATGCTTCAACACATCCTCCTATGTCTCCGAGCTCGTAACAGCACAGGAATTTCAGGAACAAAGCATATGGCTGTGGTGGGATTGCCAATTGCCTAGATTGTCTACGCAACTCTGGACTCAAATGAGGAAGGCACATCCTGTCAGAACGAAATACCAAATTTTGTGTGAATAATTTTTGCAGTCTTTCATATCTAAGTCCTGTCTTAAGAGATAAGTCATTGTACATCTTTCGTAGATATTCAATAGGGTAGCCTAATTCAAAATATGATGCTAATTCTAGAACTTTCCTGGTCATCTCCAAAGATTTACTGAAAGCTCCCGTCAGAAAATGGAAAGTTGCCAAATACAATAGTTCCGTACCCATTACCGCGGTAGGAATCATCCAATGTTTGCATTTCCGCAGCCGTCTGTACTTCATCTTGTTACCTTGAACATCCACGTTGTCTTGGTTGATTTGTTTTGTCGCAAGTATTTGCAGGCCTTTCATAGCATAGTGGTACGTGAAAATTTCATCGAAGTTTGTTTCTGCTGTCGTTAATAACTGCATTGCCGTTGTTACAGTTTTTAACGTGAGACGTCTGGTCCATACAGTGAGTGGTAAAACTTGAACTGTGGCTATATCTTCACTCATTACAATTTTCCAAACAGGTCTTGGCCGTTGAAGATCTGTTTGCACTGATACGTCAGACAGACTCTGCCAGATAGGTTTGTAGATGTTTCCTACTGACAAACACATCCATTTCATCTGAATGTATTGGTTTAAGACGTCCAACAGTATTTGTTGATTCTGTCCATGTACTTTCCTTTGGAACAAGTTGTTGGTAAGAATGAAATAATTCGGACAGAATCCTGCCTTGACCCAAGCGATCAGGATGTTGAAGCAAAACCAAAAGCAACCAAATAAGTTTTTGTCTTGCCAAATCATCTCACTGGAATTCTCTATTGCATGAAAAAGAATAATTTTCATAAAATAGGAACATAGGATGTCGTCGTCCCGAATGTTTTCTTTTAAATTGTCTTTTATTTGTTTCAAGAAATACTTCAGTAAGGCATACACTTTTTTTTGGACATGGTTAAATGAGTGGACTAAAGATTTCTCTGCTGTTACAAAAGATAATCTCCATTGTAAAAATGTGTCTTCAGAACACTTATCTCCAACTGGGACAAGATAGCATCCGTTCTGAACAATTTTGTCTATCAATGTTTGACACGGCCATCCGTGAAGACGTGGACGTGTGATCCATTCTCTAGCCTCCTTTGGCCAACTGTTACATGGAAAGCTATAGACGTTATCCGGGGTACGTTTTAATCCTAACGTTATACTAGGCCCACTTGTTTCATATGTCGCGCCTACCTCTTTACTGAAGCGACGCAGCCGTTGCCCCCTGTAGATATCACTGGATACAAATAACGAAGAACCTTTTCTTACAAACGACTTAAATAAATGTTCTTCACATCTGTGTCCTAACTGAAAAAGCTCTAAATTAACATAGCCTGGGCGACAGTCTTCTTCTCTAATGTACAGAATGGTTTTGTGTGCCAAGTTTGGAGGATGGCATTCGCCAGGATACATTACTATCGTAGTTTTGTCTATTCTCATATAATCTATATCCGAATCTGGTAAAGCCATTCCTTCTCCGGCGCTTCCGCATACAATTATTGAATTGGAATCAATGGCAGAATTGTCTAAATATTCACCTAAAATCTGCGACCTTATTCTTATATTAACTTCCTCTTGTGTCCCTAAAAATGACCGATCCATGTATGTTGAAAGTAGCAGGGACATCTGGTCACAATCTTTTGACGCCATCATGGTCAGTTGCACTGGACGAATTGGTCTGTAAACAAAACATCGATTTATATATCTGGTTCAAGCAATAAATCAATCATACCAACTTTTGCATTAACATTGATGTTATAATACATTCCCTTTAACACTTGCTTCACAGGAGAAAACCGAAAAGGGCTTTTCGCATTCAAGAAACCAAGAACGCGCAAAAATGTAATGAGTTAAAATATCTAAAATTCTGTATTTCTAAAATTGTGAGTTATGCAAATTAATTAGTGGCATTTTCCCCAAGGACATATCATTATTCCTCAACACATGACGTATTAAAACACACCAGGGTACGGAACAGGTCAATTTGGGATAATTTGTTGTAGTAGAAACAGGCCACACAGAGTCATTGTTGTTATATACGTTACTTATTTCACATTCGTAAGTGATTTTTACAAAAGTTACAGAAACATTCGTTCGTGTCTTTTTCTTTATAATTTTGGGGAAAGACATAAATAACTCAAGTGAAAGAAATAATATTTACTACAACCAAACTTTGTGTAACAAAAACAATTTTGGGGAAAAACATAACTAACTCAAGTGAAAGAAATAATATTTACTACAACCAAACAAACAAACAAGGCAAAATTTTTTTAAGTAAAGACAAAAACCAAAACGAAACATTTTTTTCAAAAAATCGAACATCATTCAAGTAGAAGCAAACGATAAAAGCTACTTACATCTTCACATCATGAAATGTTTACGGTGTTGATTGTAATCCGTCGCTCTGACAATCGCGTAAAAAATTCTGCATCACGCTCCGAACATTTTGTGAATAACTTAGTTTATGCACACAGTCTGTGTTTATCCACTTAACAAAGATTTCCTGTCAGTGACAACGATTAGTCATCTGTAAGCACATGTCTTTAAGGAGTGATATTAAACCACTTGATTATTGCTATATGATCCGACATTTCACAACCTGTACGAAATTTAGATCGATCTTCGTGTAAAGTTGATACGATGACATTATATCAAAATATCATAAGTAAAAATACTGCCATTATAATGGTAGAGAGGTTGAGGAGAGGAAGTCAACGAAGTGTTATTAATTGTTGGCTTCAACAAATTTCAATGTGTTAACAACGGCGGCCATTTTGTAATTTGATTTCGTAATCGACGTTTTTCTGAACAACACCCATCTTTAAACTTCTTCTCAAGTTCAACAAGTGATATTGATCTGAAGCTTGCCGTGAATGATTCTCAGATGGTATTGACAGCAATCAAATAACTTGTGCTCCCTGACAAACATGGCCACGGGAAAAAAGGCAAGCGATATATTTGTAAGCATGAAACAAACCGTGACTTTTGAAATGAAAAAAGAATACTCTACTTCTATTATTTCGGTTCAAACGTTACACACAATGTGATGCTCAGTCCCCCCTATTTACGCAAAAGATATGTTATGGACAGGGTCAAAATTTTGATCATGGCATTAAGATGACCTTGGCTAAGAACGTACTATCCCGAAAATGGTACGTGACTCGCTATGTCTTTTCATGCAATCTATTCCACTCATTTTCATTAAGTATGAAAGAAACTTTGATCCACACAATGAATTATAGATAAAGAAAATGTAACGACAGAATAATTCGGACTATGACCGTAGTCGTCTAAAGGTGCTCAACACGTGCCTTTTTATATCAAACATATTTGCGCAGACGGGTTACCAATCAAGTACCAAATAAGGGTTAAGTAACTTGTTAACAAAAACAAAAGATAAAAACAACAATGACTTCTTGTTCGAGCATTTATTACAGTTCAATACTTAAGCTTGGGTAGATCACAATAGCCAACGTCATAAATGCAGATTCGTGATCGTTGGTCAGAGGTTTCAGTATAAGAATATACAAGGGAGATTATTATTGATGGGTATTTGTATTATATAAGGGAAAAAGTTGATGATTGTTTGTATTAATAAATATATTACATGTTATTATCTAATACTGTTTAAGAAAATATGTCTTTTAATATACGATTTTGAATTTCACATATCCTCCGATGGTCTTGCAATGCCCTGTATATCAGGAAAAGACTGAAGCTGAATTTTGCATGTTGAGCTAAGGGACAAACGTCATTGGTCGCTGATCATTTTTTACCGCATGAATAATTGATTCAAACATATTTTATTATCAGTAGCCGATAAATGGATCAGAGACAAGTTCTAGCAACTAATGAACTCCATAAATGAAATTACAAATAAATAATAGACTGCACGTGACACATATTTATAATATAAACAAGAAGATATGTAATTCATAGACGTACAATTGTAAGTTTAAATCATTTTCTAAAAAGGAGGAAAAGATGAGATGATAGAATAGAAAGAAAAGAAGAGAGAGGGAGATAGTATAGATTTTATATCAATTTTATTTCAATTCTATATCAATTCAGTGCCAGCCACAAACATTTCAGAATTAGGTAATATTGAAACGCTTTGTTTGTTTTATAAACGTTTTGATATTTCTAACAATATTACAATCAGTTTCATATGAGTAAACATCACTGTCGCCCAAAATTTTATTATTATTTCTTTATTAAAATCTACGTCTAAATCATACAAAGTATCAAACAATATACGTCTATAATTAGAGAAAAATAAACATGTAAGAAAATAATGACTTACGTCTTCAATACCATCACCACACGGACAAATCGGGGATTGACAAATACCGTGAACCCTATATAAATCTGAACGCAAGCCACTACACTAATGTCTAATGCGGCCATGTATAACAGAGAGGTATCGATTATTACAATGTCAATAATCAGGAACTGAAGAGTGTATGCGGGATAGTTTGATTCTAAATGTTTTAGTGATACAGCCGATTTAGTAGAATTGTCTAAATTATTCCACAAATTTATAGACGACGGAACAAAAGACTTTTACATAATATCCAGACGACTTCGTGGGACTTGATAGTTGTCTGGATTTCTCAACTCCATATTTAAGTCACGCCTATTAGGTGGTATCAAGCTTTCTAAGTATGGAGGGACGTTTTTGTTATGTGTTTTGTAGAAAGTGGTAAGCTTTGATTCTTCTCTTCTCTGTTTGAGTGGATTCCAACCTGTTTCAGTATGTAAAGAGTCACGAGAAGCAATGGATGTGAGGCCAGAGACGATTCTAGCTGCTTCTAACTGAACTTTTTTCTAGGGAGTCAGACAAGTGTTCCGAACATCCATCCCAAACACACGAGGCATGTTCAAGCACATGTCGTATAAATAATACATATATAGTATTGAGAGTAGACTTAGCTACATTATACTTCAGTTTTTTTCAAAGCAATTACTTTTTGAGAAGAAGATTTGATCAAATGGTTTATGTGGTCTCTCCATTTGCAACTATTACTGAGAGTTACTCCTAAATGATGATGTGAGTCGTTGAACTCAATCGGCTCACCGTTGCATGTCAAATTTGGCTTAACTAGAATATGTTTAGAACAGAAGATAACTGCCTTAGTCTTTACTAGATTGAACTGCATAAGCCATTGACCAGACCAAATTTTTAGACGGTGTAAGTCCTCACTCAATGTTTGCTCGATTTTATTTAAATTGACAGACGATTTTTGGAAGAGAGGAATCGCCATCAAATAGTCTGACAAAAGTTTGCATTGGGTCAGCTAAGTCATTGATATAAAACGGGAACAGCAGGGACCCAGGTACAGAACTATGTGAATTCTCTTTAGAATAATAACCAAGCTATAAATTGAAGAAATGTGATTACTAATATGATGATGATTGTTGATTGTATGAAATGTATTGATGATGATGATGGTCTGGATGGCTTGTCAATGGATGGGATATTTTTTGTAATCATGATGATGATGATGATGATGATGATGATGATACGTGTTACACGTCCTTATGTATGTATATTGTTTTCCGTGTGAAAGCGAGTATGCTGTCTGGTATTTATGTAATGTACGAAATACCTTTGAAAAAGAAAAAAATCATATGAAAAATAGATATATATATCCTGGGTCACAGTCTGTCTCTCTAATGTACAACATGGTCTCGTGTGCCACTTTTTTTTTAATGATATTACGGATTGAAATTTATAACGGAACGCTCATGTAATTTTGACAAAACAGCGATTAAGTATTGATAAGTGATTATAAAGGTCATCTTTAATTATCAATAAACAATCGGACACAACGTTAATTAGTCTATTGTGTATAGTTTCACACCTCAGAGATTGGTGTGTGACGTGTGTCACGAGCAACGAAAATTATCTGTAGTGGTATAAATATTTAGGAGTTATTTTTTTCTAGGAACGGATTGTTTAATCAGAATATAAAAGATCTATATAATAAAAGTATGAAAGCTCTATTTGGAGTCATTGCTAGATGTCGTACTCATAATTTATCTATAGACTGTTAAATTGATCTGTTTGATAAAGTTGTAAAGCCAATATTACTATACCGCTGCGAAGTGTGGGGCTTCTCAAAGTTGAACCTTATTGAACATGTACATACGAAATATTGTAAATACATACTAAATGTATCGAAACATACACCCAACTGCATGGTTTATGGAGAACTTGGGCGATATCTGTTGATTATTAACATTAGAATAAAAATGGTAATTTTTGGGCCAAAATCAATTGTAACATAGACAATAAAATATCACGCAAATTGTATTTGTTATTGAATAATACCAATTCACCATGGATTAAATTTGTCAAGAGTATTTTTGATGAATGTGGATTGTCTTATGTATGGCAAAACCCTATCAATGTAAATATTACGTGGTTAAGAAATGTTTTGCACTCTGTTTTATATAGTCAGTTTCAACAATCCTGGGAAAGTAATATTATGACTATTTCTAAATGTATAAACTACAGAATGTTTAAAAATGTACTGAAACTTGAAAGTTATCTAATCAAACTACGTATTAAAAATAGAAGTATTTTAACAAAATTTAGAACATGTAACTTCAATCTCCCCATAGAAACTGGAAGACGGAGAAATGTACCC